ATATTTTTATCCAAGCCCTGATAATGTTTTGTAGGTTCAATTTTTTTTTCAGTCTTAAAGGTGCTATATAAATACAATGTGTTATTAGTATTGTTTCACCTTTAATACATTTGTCTCTGATCGGTGGTGACATGAAATAAGAAAAATCGTGAATCCACAGGAGCCACCTGGAACTGATTGGATTCTGAAAGAACACTTTTTAAAATGTGTTAAAAAAAAGAACAGAATAACAGATTTTCATTTCCCACTTCGTTCTCTCCAAGTGCACCTGGAATGAGCTAACATAATCTTTCTACTTTCATTTAAACATAGTGATTGGAAACTTTGTGTAAAACCATTTTTAAAGTCAGCGAGGACTGAGTCTGGCTCTGCAGCTCATTAGTTCATTGTCAACTAGCAAATGCAATTTCTTCAGAGACTGTGATGAGATTGCCGGCTGAATTGCTCTATAGATGGCTGAACTGTATTGCTTCATATGTAGCTGGGAGCTAAACATCAGTAATGGCTTAACTTTGGCTGAAGTTGCGGTAGTTGTATGAAGCAGAGGGACGTGAAATAAGAGCAAAATGAATTAAGGGGGCAATATAAAGGTGATGGATGAAGGGTGTTGAAATGGGTGTTAGAGGATGAGCTCCAGAGCACAAAGAAAGGTGATGAGGTTTCATTGAAGTCCCTTTGTTTCAGTAAGGTTGCAGAGATGTACAAGAAGACCTATAAACATTGATGTGTATTAAAAACAGACAAATATCGACTTAAAACATCCTCACCTGTAAATAAAAGTTCCTGCACAGGTTCTTTGTCCTCCAATGTTTGGTGGTTGAGTGATGTTTTAGAATATCCAAAATATCCCTGATACTTGCTTTCATTTTGAACGAGTGATATACTCGTCCGACCAAATATTGTTTATATGTAGCATCAAATAGCTGATTGAGTTCTAACCTGGCTAGTGTTATTTTTTTGGTGGTGCTAAAACTGAAATGTTACATATAAGATAAAGTGAGCACAACCTCTGAATACCTAGTGTTACATATGGGGAAAAGCTGCTGATGCGATTTATTTTGCAGTCTTTCATTAAATAGAGGCAGGATGTTAGGACATGCTGTAATACTGCCAGGGCTAACAAGCAGTTTCTCACTCTGCTACGTCTACACATTGCTGGCAAAGAAGAAAAAATGTCTACTGCAATACTCGTGAATTTGTATTGTGACCTTGTCTGTGCCGGTCATAGGTAATGAATGGGTTTGCCTCGTGAGTCTTGGAAAGCAATACGGGGAACAAATTATTTTCTGATTTTTTTTTTCCTTCCAAGCTGTCGTGAAAACTGACGAGCCCGATAAATCCTGACGTTCAGATTTGTCAGCCATGATGCCAGCGTATCAGAAGTGGCATCATAATCAACCACCTTATGATAAGAACAACTCAATTTGCTCCTGCCTCTCTGTCAAGGTCAACCAATCCCTAACTTTGTATTAAAATGTCCGCCTCCCTCTCGCTGCGTCTGCAAACATGAATGATTTCTCTGGATGCATTTGTAATGGTGTAGTTTGAAAGTAATTTCAAACCCTGAAATCCACCCTTGTTATTGATGACTATGTCAAATGACTTGCAAGTACACGTGCGCAGCCCGCACAGGCACGTGATCGCACATGCCGGCCGACTTCACCAATTCAACCTCATTAATTCAAAGTCTTGACTTTCTAAACATCATAAATCACTGCAGGACTCGCAGCCCAACCCCTCTCACCTTTTTCCCTACCCTCCACTTCTCTCGACCTTATCTTCCCTCCATCTCTCCCTCTATGTCATCTACTCCCTTTTCAATCAATCTGGTTTTCTCTCTTCCACTTGCTTCCTTGGGTGGGGAAGTGGGGGGGGGCCCTGAAAGTTTGTAGTATGCAGTTTAAATAGTACTCTGATGAATTGGCTGTCACCTATAGGCTTGAAGATTAGCCCAAGGGCAAACACACTCCTGTTTCCTGGGTGCCATGCTGAAGATGAATAACTGTTTATTAACCCGATGCAGAGTGACTCCTTCTCTACCTCATTATGGGGTAGGAAAAAAAATACCATGCAGGCAGCTCCAGCTGGTCACCGTCGCTCTCTCTCTCCTTGCATCTCCCCGACTCTGCCACTCCTCCTGTCTCCTCCTCCATTGCTCTCTTGCTTTCTCCAGCAGATAAACCAGCAGCCTGATGTAATGTGACAGTTTGCATTTGGTTCTTTTTTTTTTGCCCCCTGACAACCCAGGAAATTGGCTTTTCATCTTACAAAAAAACACTGCACTCCGGATATTAGAGGGCATTCATCTTATTATGAGGGGCAGAGGGTAATTGGAAGTTTATGCTTTCATTTTATGGCAATGTACATGGGGCTGGATTTACTAAGGCTTTTGCTGAGTGTTTTTCAGTAGTACATTCTGTTCCAGGCACATGCTGTAAGTATGAAACTATAGTGCACTCGGAAGTTTTAATGTAATTTAGCAGATGTTTGCAAAGTGCAACTCTCTCTGTATTACAAATGCTTTTAAGGGGGAACAGCAAATAATCACTGGACGAAAAGAAGAGAAAGAAAGAAGGGCAGCACTGATTTATTATGTATTTTGTTAGGTTCCTCAGTTTTAGCCACTCAGGGGCAGTGCAGAGAATTTTGAAATGTCAAACTTATTAAAAAACAATTGTGTATGAATACAAATAATGTTTTGGGCTGATGAATGTTAGATTGAGTTATGTGACCACCCCACGAGACGGGTTCTGTGTGGCTTTACTTTACTATTACTCCACAACATTGCACCTTACATCATTCACACACCCACATGTACACCACTGATGCCACCATCTAACACCTCCCATTCTTATTGTTATGTTCAATTCATAGTTTTGCTCAATATAAATATAGTCTTTCCTGGAAAATTGCACGGTTTTTTGTCTTGAACCATGAGCAGGGTTATGACAGATTTATTCGCTCTCTTTCAGCTCTGTTGTTTCCCTGTCAACTCCTGAAGGAAGGTTTCCCTAATAGCACTGTATTGACCAGCTACTCTTAAAACTGTCACACAAAGATTGCAGATGGACGACGTGTCAGCTGCCAAAAGTGAAGCAAAATCATCTGGATCACCCCCTGGTGTCTGGCTGCAGAATAGAACTGAAACCCAGCTTCCTCCATGTTAGCAAAAGGGACATGGGTGAAATTAAATTGTCAGACCACATATCAAATTAGTGATTTCAGTCATTTAAGATACTCCAATCTTATCCCGCAAATGTATGTTCAACTGCCGGAGGTTTAGTTCCAACCTGGCCCCTTGCTTTCCTGCTCTCTCCCCCTATCAAACCCCAATCAAAAAGGAAATAACGGAAAACATGACATGTCTATTTGTATGTGTTAATTTTCAAGTTTTCAATTTTCAAGCATTTTGTCTTCGTGAGTGACGATGGAAAATATATGCAAAATAAAATACTTGTACAAGTTCAACCAGCAACATCTAGTAATCTGCTGTTTATGTGTGAGAGGTGGAGCTTTTCAGTCAAGCTGACATGCAGTTATTAGGCTGTTGTAGAGTTGTAACTTGTGATCATGTCAGCTTAAGAATCATCATCCAAGGCACAGTTTCCCATTTTCTTAGGGAAATCAAGCTTGAACAATAAGAGCTTTTAAAGGTGGGCAAAAATTAGTGAGAGGCGTGTTGATAATACGATGGGTCATGACACTCTACATGTCCACCAATAGAGTACATAGAGAGAGTTAACTGGCCAGTTTATTCAATACACCAAACTAAAATTATCAGTCACATTCAACGGTCTTACCTTCATGAAGTCTATATTTGTAGATTTAACTTTATACTCTGTATAACACAAAACAAGTCAGTAGCCTCAGAAGTGTCTGCATTAGGTTTAGCAAGGTGAACTCAATAAACAAGATACTGATTGTAACTAGAGTAAGTAATGTTCTTTTGATTCAACTACTTACAACATGATACATGGTCATACATAATGCCTACAAATGTCTGTTGGGGCCTTTTCCTTTTTTTTTTTATTACAAGTTGAAATTGTTAAAAAAAATGTTGCAAAATGGAAACCTTCCTCAAAACATAAAACTAGATCTAAACTTTTGGAAATCAGGTCATCTTTTACTTTGCTGTGACAGAAATTTTGACTGAAAATAAATGTGTGTGAAAAGAGAGACAGTTAATGTTAACTAACATCACATTCTGGGCCTGGAGTGTTTTTTGTGATTTTGGAATCATTAAAAGTGAATTTGAACTCGATAATTTTGCTGTTGATTAGAACATTTCTTCTGTATTTCCCTCAGTTCATCAGCACCTCTGCCTCCTGTGAACCTTCGTGCTGCACCATTTTGTCAGTAAATCAGTGTGTAGTGATGTCTCGCATGGCAAAGACAATGGATTGAAACTGTTCTGCTCTGAAAATCTGCTCTGAGTCATACTGTGTGTGTGTGTGTGTGTGTGTGTGTGTGTTTATGTGTTGTTCTCCCTCCCTGCCTGGGGGTGGTGTTGTTTCCTGTGTTTCAGGTCCGGCAGGGGATTGGAGGATGGCCTGATGGAGCCTCTGTTCTTCTTCCCGGCTCCCGATGTGACCGTAGCTTTGTTGTAAATCCAATCCGATATATATTTTTAAAGTGTTTTCTGTTTACTACCCTCTGATTGATGTTTGGCCTAGTCCTGATTAGTTGTAGGGAAGAGAAGCCTTTTTGTTTTTTTGACCCTTTCCTCCTGTTCTTGGTTAGGTGGGCAGGTAAGATCCCTGTATTTTCTCTTCATCTCTTTCTGAAGTAGGGACGTTAGTTTGCTATCATAGATTGTTTTGTTTGCTATTTTGGCTGTGCTCTTCCTGACATTTTGGTTTGCAAAGGATTTGTAAAAATAAATCATTCGTTGGACTGCAAAAATCTGCGTGGCACTGGTTACACTTGGGAGTGGGGAAAGAGGGAAGCCATTTATGTTAGGCTGGGTGGAACATCAACACGTCAAAGACAACCTGTGCTGTAATATATTTATCAACATGTTATTGCAATGTACATGTTACAAGGAGAACTGAAAGCTAGCATTGAAACAAGGAGAAGGATGCCAGTTAGGTAAACCACTGTGTATTTACTTAAGCAAGCTGAGCACAGAAGAACAGCTGAAAATGACATTGACAAGGTTTACTGACTCTCAGTGAGAAATTAGTGAAGTTAATGTAAAATCATATCAAGTTCTTGAGCTCAAGGGTACAGGCCTACAATCACTGCCCTGCAGAAATCATAGTAAGTCCAGTCGCTGTGGTAACTGGCAGCTGACAACGGACCCACGCATGAAAAGAAAACCGAAAATAATTGACCTGAGACTAAACCAAACAATTTTACTTTTTAAAATCAGTCACTGAAATTTTGTCTAATTGGAGATAGAAGGATTTAGCAGAACAATTACAGTTATTGTAAGTACTGGTGTGCACTGTGTGATAGTGACTCAAGAAGTTTCACAACACCAAATCATAACAAGTATCTGCAGAATTTACATGGAAAAGTTACATTACCACATATCCTGGAGAACGTGTCTGCTGCTCTGTCTTGGTAGGAATACTGAGATATAAAAAGCAATACAGCCTCCGCAGAGAACCAAACACAAAACCCAGATGTGCTTCTTATCGTAACATTGAATTTCCATATAAGGCATGAATTTGTTATAAACATTTTTTTGGTCTTTGCACTCAGTTATCTAAAAAGCAATGTGCACTTGTCCACACTCAGGGTTAGATGGAGCGTTATTTACAGCGTTGTATCTGCCAACCTTTTTATCACATCAGAAGATTTTGAGAAGATTTTTAGCTAAAAAAAAAAAGACCCCATCATTTAGGATACTTTGCCATTCAGTTTGCTGATGTGTTCACCTTCTTTTGGTACAGATACGCCACCAAGGACAGAACATCACTAACTGGCTTCTCACTCAAGTCAATTATGAGTTCTCAAATGCCAGATAAAATGGAAAGCAGGGATTAAAAAGAAATATTCAAAGACAGTAACAGGGTTCAGAATTATCAAATTTTAAACTGTTAAGCATAACATAACTCATTCAACACATATATAATATTATTCCATTTTCCCTTCCCCAAGATTGTTCAGTAGCCAAAGAAAATAGGCGTAGAAAAGGGGAAATCCTTTTCCATTGACCCCTTTTGAGTTCCTCTCTGTGTATGAAAATCAACTTCATCTTTGAAAGGCAAAGGTCTAAGGTATATGTAATGACATCAGCTCTCAGAGGTTCCAATCGACATAACCTGCCAACGTTTGAGAGTCTCTTCAATCAGTCGCTCAGGTAACCAAAAGCAGGGCAGTCACTGCAAAACGTAAACCTCCACGCATCAGCTGTTCTCCCAAAAAATGACTAATAAAAATGTGACCACAGGAAAAGCCAAGTCTGCCCTCAGAGTCGAGTGTTAATCCAGAGGATGTGGGTCCAAAAAGCCAACATGGTGGGACCTCCTCTGCTCAGTTTGGGTTCGCCCCTGAAGCAGCAACTCAGTTTGTAGTATCACTCCTGAACTTGAATTTTCTTATAAGCGAGATAGCTAGCTGCACAGCTGGACCAGCTCAGGTTCGGGAGAAGCATTGGGAAGCTTGGAGTTGAAGATCTGCAGAGCGTCCTTGATGCGAACCACCTCGCCGGCCGACATCTTGAGCCGGTGGCGCAACAGGCAGGAAAACAGGTCTAGTGGCTGCGGTGCTGGTGGAGAAAGTCGGTTAATCCGATCTCTCATCTCCAACAACATCAGGAAGGCAGCATCCTGTGTACCCTGCGTGTAGGGGTAGTCCAGCTGGAGAATCAGATCCTTGATGCCCTCAGGGTCAAAGTGCAGGCTGTATCCAAACACCTTCAGCGTGTTGATCTTCATGTACCCCAGGTTGGACGTCTGGTCATCCAAGTCCAACGGTTCATAGAAGAGAGTTTCATTCACTGTTGGATCATCTGTGACAATGCGGCTTCGCAGGTAGATGTGAACCGTTTCAAAGAAGGACTTCCATGTGCTGCCCAGAGACAGTGTCCAGTTGTAACACTGTGCCGTGACAACGGCATCCAGTCGAGTTCTCTCCCAGTCAGGGAAGTCAGGCTGGTTCACGGGCATGAACCAACTCTCTGAGTGACTCCCACCAAAAGGATTCACGTAAATCGCAGGCACGGGCTCCAGCGTAGAATTCTTAGTCGAGCATATCTGGAAAGAAATGCCCATCAGCATGTGAATGAGATTGGACTTATTTTTGTTGCTCTTGAGTGTCAACAACATCCTCTTCCTCCAGGCAGGATTGAACCAGCTTCCCAGGCGGACATCATTGCTGATGTAGATGGCATGGACCTCTATTCTGCTGTCCAGTCGCTGAAGCAGGTACTTCACCTGAAGAGAGATAAATACAGACCCACAGGTAAGATTAGAATACAGTATTTCTCATGTCCTGCACATTTTGATATAATACTTTTTTTTTTCTGTCTTCGGAGTCAAGCTAAGATTGCTTTTCATATTTAATGAAAGCTATAAAAATTATTTTACGACTTTTTTAATGTCTGAGAATAAACTCAGTGTGGAAGTAATAAACATTTTTCTTCAGGACTTAATAAAAATCAGAAAAGAGAAATGTAATGAAATGTATTAAATCCATATTTGTTTGCTTCAACCTTGCTTTGGAAGAAGCTTCTTTCACGCACACTGCACACACAGTAAAATGTATTCTGTGTTTGCCTCACTGAACTCGCTCTGTTGTGTACATTGTACGCATCTGGCTTTTATTATTAACTTGTGCTCAGTATGAGTCTGAGCTGTGAAATAATAATAGAAAGGGATAACTACTGTAAATACTTTTGATTTATAGGCTCAATTTAAAAAGCCATATTTCATGTTGGTCTTTGTCAGAGAATGCAAAACTTTTGCAGTATTCTAGCATCCATGTTCAACTAGAGTACAAACAGTTATTAAACTTTTTCCCATGATCTTTAGGTAATTAGGTAATGCATCATGTGGACCACAGAGCTTTGAGGACCAATGGAATACAGATATGAAAAACTCTGGGAACCTCAGCATCAGGCATGTCCAGGTCCAAGTTCAGATAGTGGTCCAGGGATGCGGCAATACTCGGGTGGCAGGAGCCAAGATGGAGGAAGTTGCCATGGTGACAGGCTCCACAGCGGGTCGCATTATCAGGGGCACAGGAGGAGCAGGAGGTGGGTGAGGTGCCCACGATGCAGGGAATGACTTCCTGGCAGGTGGGCTGCTCCACAGGGCAGCTACAGCTCTTCGACTCCTCAGAGAAGGAGCCCAGCACTCCATGCTCATTGCAGTACAGCAGAGACTGGGCCCTGTTCAGCCAATACCCAGTGGACCTGTGGAGGAGACAGAAAAAAACAATAATGCAGCTATGTATCAGGTCAAATACTAATACATGTAGGTAACAAGTAACGTAACACCACTGAAACACAGTGTTTAAAGTCTGATAGAGTCCAGACCACTGTGTGCAGTTGAGTGTGGACACGGACTTATGCATGTAGCTTCAGGTGGGTCAAACATGTATAAGAGTATATGAATAACAAATATTGTTGTGGAGTACATACATTGTATATATTTTATAATAAAACTACTTATGATTTAAGACTTTAGGGAACACTGTACAGGAGATCAGGAAGAAAAGAAAGTCATTTCTAAGTGCGATGCATCAATTTACAGTGATTGGAAAGTTAATGAGACCTTATTATTTTGTGGCATTGGAGAAAATCAGGTTAGACAGTTTAGGTTGAGAAATTAATCAGAATTTATTGATTTAATTTTCTTCAATCTTGGATGCTGACTTTTAAAATGATAAACAAATCAAACAAAGAAATAAAGTGAATTATAAATGGACAAAGAGGTTCCAATTATTTAGATGGAGACACGATATCCCTGCTAAAATGAACAACCAGCTGTTCAGTCAGCTAGGGTTGGAGCTGCGGGTGGAGCTTATCACAGCCTGACACGAGTTGATGGCAGCCATGCCAGACAGCGTCTTACACAGTTTCTTGTTGGATAGCCGGTCGGATGCCATGGGTTAAACATTTAGTTTCAACTACAATGGACTGGCTTCAGCTTTAAGTGGTGGACGGTGCCTCAGGAGGCTCCACAAACAAACAGAGGGACCCTCTGAATTGGCTGAATTCTCTTTAGCTATTGACAGTGCATGTTCTACCTCCACGTTGTAAATGAAGAGTTGATTGTTTTTCCATTTTGGCAGCAACCATGCATCTCCATGTAAAATAATAATAAGCTTCCCTGTGTTTCTTCATTGATCTAGCCTTTCAGTATTGGCATGTCTGTGCTGCTGACAGCTGGAAAACACTGAAAGGCAATTCACCTCTACATATTTTGTGTCTGTAGTGTGATTTCATTTTAATGTCATGTAAAATTCACATCTTAACATTTTGACAAAGTGAACACATACACATGATAGACATATATAACATATATGTGTTCTGTAGGAATCTCTGACTTCAGAGCTATATAGCAGATATAACACTACTCATCAGTTTAAATATGGCAGTTGCCTCTCTTCTTCTTCTGGAGGTTTCTTCCAGTTTTCAAGTCCAAAGAGTTTGCTCATTTTGGAAACTTCTGGGTTTCTCCATAATTGTGTTAGGTCTTACCTTACTATGAGATCATGTATGTTGTGATTTGTTGCTATACAAATAAAAATGAATGCTTCACTTGTGTTTTATTTGCTTTTATCTTTGCATTTTATATAAGCCTGAGTGTCACATCCCCTGTGTTTTTCGTCCACCTACACAAAAGAGAGTATTCATTTCTATTGTGGACTAAGTTTTCTTATGTTTGGAATTGTGTTTTAGGTGTTGCTCCCTGTGTCCCACTCTGTTCCTTTCTGTGTCCCACTCTGTCACTCTCTGTGTCCCTCTCCTGTGTTCCGCTCTGTGTTCATTTCTCTGTTCCTCTCAGTGTTCCTCGGTGTTCATCTGTTTCCTGTTTTATTTTGTAGTCTCTGCTCCTTGTGTGTTTTCCCCCTGTCATCAGGTTCACCTGTCTGTCCTGTGTCACCTGTCTCTAGTTTCTCATTAGTTCAGTGTGTATTTAAGTCTTTGTGCTTCCCTCTGTCTTTGTCAGTTCGTTGTTGTGTCCATGTCCCTGTGTCGTTTCACCACTTGTCGTTGTTTCCAGTAAGTCTGTAGTGTTTCCTTGTGTCTCCCCTGTTTTTGCCTAAGAGCATTTTGAGTTTACTGTTGATTATTCATTAAAGGACACTTGTTGTTGGAAACCTTTTGTTCTGCCTTTTGGGTCCACCTGCTCCCTAACCCTTGCCTCACAAAACACTGAGATTTGTTCCCAACTCAAATATTTTTTGCAGCTTAAAGTGACAATGTTGTATATAAGTATTTTCTCTTTCACTTGAACAGCTGAGGAAATCTCTCCTTTTAAAATATTCTCATAGTTAAAAGGTTATATTTAAGGGTGGGTGTTCAAGGACTTGAAAACAAAGTCAGCCCAAAACTGCTGCATTCTTTTTTATGCATCCTATTTTCATGGGTGAAAATCAAATTTACAGTCTGCTTCAAATATAAATGGGATTATTTACCGATGGAAATTTGACACCATTTTATAGAGTGGCTGTTTGGTTTGACTGCAATAGAGATGAAACTGCAGAAATACATAAATTACCATCCACTTTGGTGCAGCAACAGCAACAACAGCAACAAGTTCAGATTAAAAATTGGCTCTGCAGAGATTCTATCCCAGGGCTACGTTCAAGAATCCTCACACTACATTACCCAAATACTCCAACAAGTCCCTTCACCTCCCCAGGCCTGTGTAAATGGACCAAAATGAATGCTGATAAAAACAAATTGGTTTGTGCAGAAGAAAGTTTTCATAGCTGAGCAGCCCCTGATAACTCGCTGTAGCTGGTGTGCAGGGGGTTAAGCTTCTGACTGACGGGTGAGACACAGAGAGAGAGCAAAGTGACACAGAGGTAGCTGAGGGCGAGAAATAAAGACAGAAAGCGCAGGAGAGTGCAAGAAGGGGGAAGATGGAGTGATGGGAAGAGGAAGAGGACTGTCAGGGAAATTAAAGTACTCTGTAAACAAGTGCCGAGCTGTCAGTCCAGGGAAGGACTTGATTACAGCGTGCCACAATAGCACGTCCCTCACCCCACAATGGCCTCCACCACCAGTAACAAGAGCCTTCTGTTCTCTCTATATCACCATCATGTCATCCCATCTCTAATCTGTTTACCACATTCTGGAGCATTTCCTTCCCCATTGGTGAAGGTAAAATCTGAACTTAGAGCTCAGTCTGTAAGCTGTGATTGATATTTGCAGTGGACAGCTCGGATGAAACATTTTCTATCTCTTCTTAATAAGTCTGGTCAACCTGGGGGGTTTGTCTGAACGATCACGTTACGGTTTCTTGAGACTAAATAAATGTTTTTGTTTGTGTTAAAAGAAACATAACTGTGGCCTGGCCCACTTTGGATGTGTGAGTGGTGGAACATCTCGCTTTTCACATCAGTGCCCATATTATCCAGTTAATGCAGAAACGGTAACACTAACCATTAACTAGTTGCTTATTAGCATGGATATTAGAGGCACATTGGCTCTTTATTAGTCATTATAAAGCACTTATTAATGCTTTTTTCTTAATGACCTTATTCTGCAACTACTCCCTTGATTAACAGTTTTCCCTTAATAACCTCCTAATTACTGCCTATTGATGGTAGGTAAGGACGTTGTTGTACATGAATTACAATCAAGTGCTTGCATATGTTCACTTTGTGTGTTCCCTTATATAAAGTGTTACCGCAGAAACACTGCTTTAACGTGAGATGCAACCTTAGCTCACACAAACAGTGCAGCTATCTTTTAGAGTCAGGGTCTCTTCTATATTCTCAGTGAGCCACATGCGGTTTACAACAATATAGACAGTGAAAATGATGTGCATAAATATTTGCAACACTTCCTTTACCTGTTTCTAAATAAAATCACTCTAGTGTTTCTGTTGACTGACTCCATTCATTAGTTATAACAAGGTTTGTATTGTATTGACAGGAAGATGCATGGCTTCATCCTGTAGAGTCCTGGCATTTAGTTGTATACCAACACCTACTTTATTCAAGGAAATACAGTTTTAATAGCAGAAGCCCATTTTCTGCATTAATGTTTTACAATCGATACTCATTGTTTATATACATATTTAAGTGAGCAAACACAATAATATCTTCTTTCAATGTGATAACTAATGAATCAAACAAAGTAAACCTAAATAAAGCTGAACTGAAATGTATTTCATTTAGGCTTGATACATAATTCCTTTTGGTTGATCTGATGTTTTTATGAACAGGTAGAGGGAAACTGACTGAAATCCTTCCTTGGCCCATTAACGTGCCCTTTTCAGATGGTCCCTCACCTTCATGATTTGAACATGTCTGTGCATATCACGTAGAAACTCAGCTGCTCACGTGTTGACCGAGACCAGACATGGATCACACATTACACTGAGTTTTAAGTCTATGCGCTCGGCTGCCTGTCTGCTTCACGATTGATTTTAAAATCCTTTTATTGCTTTATAAAGCTCTTAATGGTCTGGGTCCTTCCTTTTTATCAGATGCTTTTACCCTGTGAACCTCCCAGAAGCCTCAGGTCTTCTGGTAGTGGCCTTTTAATTACATCCAAAGTCAGAACAAAAACCTGCAGAGAGGCATCTTTTTATTGCTATGGTCCACGACTCTGACACAGTCTCCCTGACGACCTGAGGGCGGCAGGGGATATTTTCAAAAGCAAACCAAAGACCTACTTTTTTAGTCTGGCTGTAATTTAATAAAAAAATGTTTTATTGCATCTCATTTAATTTCCCACTTTTATTTCTGGCTATATTTATGCTTCAAAAGATCATCAGACTTTTGTGTTTTATTATTTCTGTGATCTGTGATTTTGTCTTTATATACTTTCTCATTTCTTTTTGGACTTCCTCTTAAAGTGTCATGGCGTTATTTATGATAGTGTTTTGCCCTGTGAGTGTGTGTGTGTTTAACTGTTGTCTTTAAAGGTGTCCTGAGCCACTCTCTACTCTTCCTCCTCCCCCACCCTCACGTGTCATTCTGTGATCAGGATGAAATTTAGCTAATGTGGTTCAAACAGTTTTTCATAAAAAAATAAATCTTCATCATCATTTCTCTTTAAGTCAGTTGTTGTTACGCCACATCACTGACAATACATCAGGGTAAGTTGTGGGTCATTGATACAAGTGTGCATGGTACATGCAGGATACAGCTGAGGTAACTCGTCGTATTGCTTTGTCATGATGTCTTCTCATTTTTTACACATCAAGATAATTGTTTGGTGTGTTGACAGCAGAGACAAGCTAAAGCTGAAACAGCTGAATTCACAGTGCAAGTGTGGAGCCTTGTGTTTCCCACCGTCTTGTATATATACAGTATATATATAACTTTTGTTAAATGTGAAGCTGGGCTCTTTCCAGACAGTAGCTGTGGGCTTTTCCTAGCGTGCCCCACTTAAGGCAAACTGTTAGAGAGCCTGCAGCTGTGGAGAATCCACACAGAGCAGCCAGCTAAACTTCCAGTAATGACTAATTACGCCTCCTTCATTGGTTTGTTTTCTGTCAGTGTGTCCCAGTGGGCTACCTCTCTCGGGGCAGGCTGATGCGAGGTTGCTTGGGGCAGCGTTTGCTCAGGGTGAACAGTTTCCTGATGATCTTCTGAGCCTTTCCCAGGACCAGGGCTGTGCTGGACTCCAGCTGGGCGTAACGCTTCTGCAGGGACAAGTCAGCCGACCAGAGCTTGGCAATCATGGACACGTTCATGAACCGGTCGGTGGGCAGGCGCTTCAGGAAGGCTTTGAACTCATCTGCAGGGAGTTTAATAGGCATAGGGAGAGGGACAGTGGAGAAAGAGGAGAAAAAAGAACAAAATTAGATGCTATCAAGTAATTTAAATGTTAACTATGCCCTTTTGAGCATTGCAAACTTATTCACCACATGCTATTTTATCCCTGGTGGCACGCGTGGATAATGACTGAGGAACTGGGGGAGTTTCATGTGTAATTAGAATAGAGACAAAAAGCTGTTATGTTCAAATGAATTGCAATCGCAAAGAAAACACCTGTGCCTCAATCTGCCGTTATACTCACCTCACCATTAGAAGCTCATCATATTCGCATTGGCGTCATTTGCAACATTGCTACTTAGCCACTCTCGCCATCTGACAATTGACGCCGTGGTGTCACGTATACAGATGCTCATTTTCATTTATATTGTAATTCTTTCTTTTACAAGGCCAAATAAGTTATGTGGAAAACCATAATCACAAGTTAAAGAGACCAATAAAAGCATGTTGTAAAACGCTTCTCTCCTTTTCCTCTCCTCAGTGCATGCACGCACTCAAGCACCTTTCACATCCTCGCATACGCTCCTCCGGCTTTCTGTCTGAATACTACAGCCTCACTTCCTCACATCATTATCATCATCATCTTCATTCTCACACTGCTGTTCAGTAATGATGGCTGCTCATTATATTGCAGTTAACGGTTTTATAAATGTTTTCTGTGGAACATACAGTTGTCCTGTCTGTTTCCACTTCTATATGCACTGATACACCCCATCGCTGTCGCTATATTGTTATTTCATCGATGGTGTAAATCAGCGGTTGTAATGGAATTATAACTACATCCTAACATCAACAATTTCACAGGATTCAATAATTTGATAATTACTCACTATTAATTGTAATTGTACAATGAATGGTTAATTATTTGTGATGATGACAATGAATGAGACAGATTTGATAGGCTTAATTTATAATTTCAGCTGTTCCATTTCATGCCAACATTAATAAAACCATGTCAAGGCCCTTAGATCATTGGAATCTGAAAGAATCTTCTGTGGTATTCACTTTAAGTATGGACATAACGTTTTTTTAAGTTCAATACGTTTTGTCAGAGAAAAATAAACTGTTAAATCTGTGTGTGTTTTGTTAAAAACACAAAAAGTCAGACAATAATATCTCAGCATGTTCGATTCTTTGCCAGTTGAAGTCAAACTGTTTGCTTGTAAGTAAGATATTGATAATTACACTAAAAATTGTTAAAGATAAAAATTAAAGTTATATTTCCATAAAGTAAGGAGAGTTGCATGAAACATATAGAGGAAATTTGCCTTTAAAGTCACATCAATCATGAGGTGGTCATATCGTAAAACCTGTATTTACTGGAAAAGTCTTATAGTCAGCCGCCGACTTGTCCAACAGTTCATTGAGATTAAAACATTTCTTCATATTTAGTGTATCTTGGGATTGAACAGCTACACAACCACAGAAGCCACTCTGTTTATCAGGAGTAGCTGCACACTTACAAGTGGAGCGACCCTTCTTAGGATGATGTAAGAATGCTGCCAAGTTAAAATAATGGATGTTGGGTTTCTGTCCGTACCCATTCTGCTGACTGTTTGAAGAGTGCCGGATGTTACATTTCCTATGCTCGTTCCTGATGCCTGTAGCCTCTAGCATTTTGTCATTAGACTGTTCCTGCCTGGCAAATGTCCACATCTTCAGACTCCATGCAGGGTTTCTGTTACAAATGTGCACCACTTTGAGATGAAGCGGATCAGGGTATTTGAGAAAGCTCCTTAACTCCAGAGCCAAACTTATTATGTGCTTGTTTTCACGCGCACCGCCCACTCCATCTATAATATATACATACAATATAACCTATATATCTTTCAGTGGCCTAAATTATGAGATATTTTACCTCGTGATGTACCTGGATTCTCTTTATATAATGAGATCACACAATCATGTGAGAGTCCATCTTGCCAGGCTTAAAATTTTGAGTTTGTGGTCGAACTAAATTGACCAATCAGTGCAACTACTCTGCTACGAGTACGATGACAGTCTGTGGTGAGGAAAGTGACAGGCAATATGATTTTTTTCAAATAAGGCCGTTACAGACAGAGGTCTCATCCACTGCCTGTCCTTTTCCAGGCGGTTTCCAAGGACAACTTCCCTGGCGGTTCTGCGTAACAAACCATCAGGTAATAAGATTCTCTCATGTCAGTAGCCACAGATACACTGGGATTCAATTCTTTCTCATGTCCCCATTCATTAGAATGGAAGAGTGCTTTCTACAGCCTGCTTTGACAGCCATGTAAGGGTGAGGTTGAACACAGTGGGGTAAGTTGTGGGTCATTGTCGCTCCTACAGCTGCCCCTCCTACAGGGTGGCAAGAGAGCCGGATGAACGTTTCACCTTTAGAACTGAATTGTGGCTGTAACAGAAACTTGGAAATATTTAAGTATTGGCATCAGCATTATCTCTTTTTATAAGAAGATGCTTGTTTTTTTACTTCAAAGAAGAGTTAAGGTACAGCACAATAAATCAATGAATAACTGATTGAGTATTGATTGATCAAGTAATCAGTTGGTTGATTAAAAAACACATTGTGTCATATGTTAGCTATTTTAAAAGGGACAGAATACATTTTTCTTTCAACTCAAGCATGCTGTTGGTCATTTCACCCATATGCTAAACTACAGGTGAAAGGAAACATTCTGCTGTAATGATTGTAGACGTCGTTCACCCAAAGTGCAGGTGGAGCAGCTCCAAAGTTTAAGGCTGAAGCATAGACTGTATATGAAAATGGACGACATGTCTCCACTCCCTCCTGCTATCCAGCAATGAAGCCAAATTATCCAGAGCGCTGCATTTGGAGCCAGAGTCTGTGCACTAGAATGGGGGACAGAGCCACAGTATCAAGGCCCAATCAGAGTCAAGTCACTGTCAGCTGTCAATCACCATTTTGATAGCATCCATTAAATACAAATGTAATACCTGAACATATATCAGTGTGAGACTGACTGGAATGGCAGAAATCGTCTCTGAGAAAATAAACGATTTGAAGTACTTTGGCTTTTGGTTTGGTCCACTTCTCATCCACTAACATAGAGGTAGGTTAATGACCTACACTGCTGCCAGCCACCAGGGGGTGATTGTGATGCTTGAGGGCTTCACTTTTGGGGGGAGGCCCTAGTTGGGGCTGGCCCATGGATTAGTTTTAGTCCATGGGCTGAAACCAAGGCTGTAGCAGTATATTGAACTGAACAAGAATAAGGTTTATATATGAATTAAATCAACTTTTTGTAACTTGACACTTGGTAAAAGGATGCTGGCGTAATTTCTGCTTTATCAAAAAACACATAGAACAACAGAGTCTAGCTTTTATGTAATTACACTTCGGGCATCTTGTGCCTGCACCAGGCTTTCCTTTGTTTCTGACTGAATCAGGATGAACAACAATAAGAAAAGGACACTTAAGAATAATTTAAACATATGGTTATTGTTTTGCCACTTTGCATACTTTCAGCACTAGCTTTCAATACAAGTGTAAACTCCCTGGAATTATCAAAAGAGCCACGAGCTATAATTCAAGAAGACGTGCCTGGCTTTACTTGCCTCACGCTATTATGAATACAATTTCAGAAACAGACGAGTTTTCCCTGATGGGTACTTTAGTCAGAACAGTTCCTCTTTTGTTGTACCAGACATGTGGAGATGTGTTACTACCCCAGCCAAAATGAGGAGAGAACCTCAAATAGTGTGGTTATCATTTCACACAAGTGTGTATGTGTAACAGTGAAAAAGACAAGAAACTATATAATACATTACACTGAGAATACTGTTGGCACAGAAGACACAGCTTGTACACTGCGTCGGGTTCACCAGGAGCGCTCCGTTGTGAAGATCATTTTAGATCCATTATGAACCAATGGGCAAATATTATGCCAGTGTGAACCCTCTGGGAAACTTAAACCTATTATTTATTTTCCTTCCAAAGCCTGCTCAGGGAGACCTTTTAGGATTGTTGGTCTGCTGGAGAATGGTATTCCCTTGTGCTGTTGTTGGCAGAGAGACAGCAAGGAGGCCTGTAGCCAAGCCGACCTGAGCTGAGCCCAACTGACAAGACTGGAGCCTATTACAGCGCTCAGTGATCCCAGATGACACAATGGTCCGTCTCTCTCCATCCTTCTCTTCCTGTGTCTGCTGCTTTCTCTCTGTGTGATCTTTTTCTTCTCGACTAGTGAGTCGGGGGTTGTCTCGTACGCTCTCTCTCGGGTTTTGTGTGTCTCCATGTGTTCCTGTCTGTCTTTTTCTGCATCTCTGGTTACTCCCACCTCCCTCATCTCCTTCTCTCGTCTCCTGTCTTTACTGACACAAGGCTGAATTAGAAGGGCAACATTAACTTTGTTATCACTCCGTTTGCTCAGCCGGTCTGTTTTTAGAGATTGTTTCACCACTACTGTTGTTCACTGAAGCATTAAAGGCTACACAGAGCTGAATGTGCAAAGGACAAAAAAGACAGAGTGCATGGGACACAAATGGAGATCAAAATGTCTCATATTGATATGCATGATGTTTTTTTATCTCAGCTGTTTTTACAGACAAACTATGCTTTGAATGTAGCGCTGATACGACTAAACCTCACGTCCAGTCTCACCTGGGACAGGATAAAAGTGGGACTGGGGGGAACTGTTTCTGAAAACTGGAAGATAAACAAGTCGTTTTTTATGTTTCTCATTTTGGAATAAATAACTGATTTACACCCTGTCCACACTAATGTCCACAGTATTTAGCAAAACAAACTTTTATTTTTATTATTTTAAGCCTCTCGTCCACATGCAGATTTTTAAGTCACTAAAACAAACAATGGAAATGACATTACAGCTCACTTTGCACATGCCCACTGTTGTTTTGTGTAATAAGCATGTTTCAGAACCAACAACAACTATCTGGAGGTTCCATACTGGTTTCTTCTTTTGGTTTGCACTGGGAGGTCTAATTACAATTTAACAGCTAAAT